GCAACACCTTGAAGAAAAAGTACTAGCCCCCTGCCCCACCCCCAACATTTGCAACACCTTGAAGAAAAAGTGGAGGAAAGCTTAGTAATGTTAGATGTAGCATGCTTGGCCCCCTCAGTGTCTACCTCCTGGTTTTAAGAGCATAAATATGTCCTCAAGTCCTTAGGAAGTGCCCTTGCATCCTTTGTCCACCAACTCATACGAAAGTGGCCATGTAGCGGACGAGCTCGGCTGCTCCCGCTACGTGTACCAATGGGACAATGGCGTGTTTGTGTTTGCCTTCAATGCGAGTATAGAGAGACCGGCAGGGTAGGAACCGTTCAACAGTATCATACTGAGACGACGCCGTGTAAAACGACGGTACACCGAGCATCTATTCCGTTGAAACAATGCAGTTTGATTTTTGAACTGCCTGCGATGGCTCGCCAACGTGAACCTGCTTCAGGCCGATAACTGTCCATTGCTTGGTCGCATGATTCCGTGGAGCTCGCGAAGATGTGGCCGAAGTCCAGTCCCGTTTTTCAGCTGTGGAAGAAGTGCGGAACTACGATCCAGAAAATCAAAGCTCGGCCGTCGACGGCAACTGGTTTGAGACAGGTAGCTACTTTGAGTCCAGGACCGAAAATGTCGTCGCTATCGCTTGGGCGTCCGTCGCCGCAATCCGTGCAAATGTCCTCTTTTCCCGCCCGCTAAATGCACATGAAATATCGTCTACGTCCCATATCCCGAAACAAGCGGACGCCTCACGATACTGTGACCAGGCGAGCCCGTACACGCTAGTGAATTTTTGAACTCATACTTTCTTTTTCCGAGCAGCTTTGAGTGACTTCATCCGACTGCGATTGTAGTGTGCTTTGATTTTCTTTATTTCCACTCTTGGAACAAAAGCACACTATCATGTATGCACTAGTTGTCACGGTAGTGCTAAATATCGACAAACCTAACGTAATTTTGCAGCTTTTCATGCCAGCTTAAAGAAAACTACCGGTTTTACTTAAAAGGATTTGAGTAGGTTTTCCTTTTCATGATACACCATACCTTCATAGGACAACATGTGATGTTCAGATATTCGGAGTGGATTACACTGGTGACTTGCCAACTTAAATCTTATCTTTTTAATCTTGACGGTTCCGCTTTGCATAAAATTATTAATGGTTCGGCGGACTAGAATAAATGGATCAGAAAACAAGGGGTATAGGAGTGCGGCAAGAGCTTGGAGTCATGGCGGAATGACAAAAATTCGCATCATACAACATATTCACATCACCATGTTGAATTATTGCTTTATATTCATATATTGTAAGAATGCGAAAATTCTAAGGTTGTAGGGTTTACGCTTATTAAGATACTTTGTTCTTGGTATTTGTAGTAACTACCAATACTGATTCAATCGTCAATACAATCCATGCAATCCCAACAAATATAACAATTTGTAGACATACAATTTTTCATTTCCTGATGAACAATCAATGGTGTGGATATAAACTAAGTTGGTCGTGTCACTAGTATCAAACATTGTAGATGAACTCATAATTTATCTTGTGCTTAAATATAATGCTAATTGTAGTATGTTCCCTTACTTAGGGGAATCATAATAAGATCTTCGCTCGGCTGTAAAAGTATTGAAATTACTATGAGTGGAATTTGTACTTCAATTGATCTTCACTCGTTTTTATCGACGTTATAAACTACTCCCTCTGTTCCAAATTACATCTAGATACATACATACCTGCGACAAGTAATTTGGAACGGAGGGAGTAGCAT